ACATGTCTCATCCTCCTGCTATGATCTTCAATTTCAGACAATCTATAATTACAGAACCAATTCTAGAAAACACTGTTCTCAAAAATAATACTCATAATAATTAGCATTTACATTGAGTTTCACCACTTTTGAAGTATTTTTAGCAAAGCTCAAAGGTAATCTCACTCAATCTTCTTCAATGATAAAAATTCTTGATGTATGTAGATTTTGTTATACTTGAGGGAAATTCGAGTCATTTTTGTTTAGTTTAGGGGAGCAATGAGGTGGGATATACCTTTAAAGTGTACCCCAAATTCATCTTATTTGAAAATGTTGTGAAGAATAATTACACACACACACACAACCCTAGACACACACCAACTGGCCCCTCAGTTAAACATTGTTTATGGATAATCACCAGCCTATGAACTGTAACTTGTTCTAAGAGTTTGCTATTTGCACGTTAATCCACTAGCCCTAAGAAAGAGGAAATGTAGTGTAGTGGAAAGTGTTAGGTCAAAACACTTCGCTGTGTGACCGACACACCTGTCCTGCTTTCCTCACAGTACTGTTATGAAGCTCAAATTAGACCCTTCTTGTAAAAGTTCCAAAATTATCTTCCTTTCTGAGAACAGCTATTTGTTGACTTTCAATTAAAAATACATTTAAAAAGTTTCAAACCATTCTTTATTTGGCACTGAAGCATACCAGATTGATTTTCTTGGGCCCTAGTTCCACAATATGTGAAAATGGTTTCAATTTAAAGTTATGAGGTTTTTTCTGTCCATTTTGATTGTGATTATGATCAGTCCTATAAACAATGAACAGCAACTATAGACACCCTGAGTATCCTCCCAAAACATGCACACTGCCTAATAGAGATGTATGTTCTCGTACATGGATAACATCAAAACACACATGACAAAGTCAGTTCAGCTCAATGATCTGAGTCTCATTTCTAGAATGCAGAATGGTTCTATGAACTAATTTTAGTATAGCTTTTGATTAAGTTTTGGTGTTAATCACATTTCATAAGTGCATAATTAAAACTGTTAAAAATATGGCACACTATGTAAGATTGGTTCATATCCTAAACCCTCAAACATACTCATTTTGACTTTTGCATTTATACCAATAATTGTCTTAGTGTTCTCTTACTAAAAGCAACTGAAAAGCAGGGACCTAGTATGTGTTTCTGGGGAGATTTTATTTATTTGACAGAGAGAGAGAGAGAGAGAGAGAGGAAGAGCACACTCTGGGAAGATTTCTCTAGAATGAGTGCCAAAGAGAAGCAAAGCCATCACTGTTAACCCCGCAGGTAGAGGTCTATGCTAAATACTCTCACCCCTCTACATGACTGAGGGTGTGACTGTGCAGGTTTCTGCCCCACACTATGTGATCATTACTTTCTTAGGATAGGTAATTTCCTAGTTATTTCAATGAGACAAAATCACAATACCAAAGAATCCAGAAGGCATTGTTTTGGAGCATGTAGCCTATGATACGATATGACAACTATGTTGGGAGAACTGAGGATTCTGTTTTAACAACTAAGTTTAACATATTTTATAAATGAGAAAAAAAGTATGCTCCTAGAAATTATGTAGGGTCATGATTCCAGACTTTCTTTCCAAACTTCAGTTTCTGGCAGTTTGAGAGAGACAGTGTTCTGTGCTCACACAGTGGTTCCTCTCCCTGCTTCAAGGCCACAGCCTTCTTTTCCTAGATTGCCTTGCAGTGCACTGGGGAATGTCACTGTGTTCCCACCAAAGGTGATAGAGGACACAGCCAGGCCTGGCCTTTAAAAACATGCAGTGCCACTTTCTGGCTATCTTTTCCCCAGATTCCACAATTTCTTCCAGTTGGCTTAGATATAAAATGGAGGATGCCGCCCAAACCAGACCAGATATTCCACTGATGAGAAAAAAACCTCAAAAACCTAATCTCAGATAAGCCTCTGAGATTGGGGGTTAATTATTCCTGTAACATAGGCAGAGTAAGACCAGACTTACAGAGGCAGTGTGACAAATTAGTACCCTGACCAACTTAAAACAATAAAAAGTGCTAGAAAAAAGTTAAAGAAATCTTTTTAAAGGCATCAAACATCTGTTTTTGTTTTTTTAAGGATACTCAGAAGCCAAAAACTAAGGTCTGACTGAAAAAGAAAACCAAATCTAACTTTCACCTTTGAAATATTTGGTGTTTACCAAAGCAGATGAACTTGAGCTTTGATTTCCAAGGCATGGAAGTATGGAAGTATGGAAGGTCATCAGGAGACAAGGCCCAAGGCCTGCCAATGCTGGGAGTGTAAAAGGAGACTGCACCATATAAAGCAGAGACTTTCAGTGTAAATGAATATAAATAACACTCCCACTGGACCACTAGGAAAACTGCCCAACCAAGCCCTGGTACTCTGTAGCTGAGAAGAAGGGGCAAGTCTCCCCTGAGCACTTGTAACCTAGCAGAACTGCTAGAATTCACAACACCTAGATGGTCAAAAAGTCTCCATAGATGTCCTAGGTTGTTAATGCCTACAAATAACCGGGCTAGGAGTCTGCTCTAAATTCTCCATGGACTCACTTTTAACTCACACTTCAAATAATTCTCACAGGTGAAGTTCCCAGAAATATAAGGTCATGGCCAAAAATCATAACACACAGAAGGAATCGAGGTTACAAAATATAAAAGTGAAAGTGAATACAAGACAGTGGACTTATAAAGACCACAGGTATTAGAATTACTCTCGACAATAAAGTAAGTATGACAATTATGTTTTAAAGAAAGGGTCTTGAAAAAGTGAGTAGAGGACAAGCATATAAGAAAGAAGAATCACGGCAGGAATTTAAAACTCTGTGGATGGTTTTAGCAGCAAAATAGACATGGCTAAAGCAGAAGAGTGGTACAGAATACAGGTGATGAGCTTCAGAATGCAGCCCGGGGAGGTTAAAGCATACAAAACGTGAAAGAGAAGTTTTGAGATACACATGATACAACTGGAGAATCTTAATTACAGTTAATTGGAGTTGCCAAGGAAGGGAGAAGAATAGTACTGAGACAATATTTGAAAAACTAATGGCTGAGTTTTCCAAACGGACGACAGACAGCAACCTGTAGATGGAGGAAATCCAGTGAATCCCTGGCTGAAGGCATCTTAGGAAGTCCACAATTATGCACATTACAACGATAGTACAGAACACCAAACACACTGAACAATTCTTAAGGGCAAAAGTCATTTTTTCAGACATGGCTTTTTCTATCAGTTAACCTTCCCTTTTTTACTTTTTAAAAATTATTGTACCGCAGCTTCAACTAGTAATCTATTAACTAGAATATCTACCTACAGTCAAGTTACAGGTGACTACTTTAGCAATCACACTATCAGCTCAATATTATATAATAAAGCTCAATGATTTATAATAGTAGAAAGTTTCACGTGTCAGAAATTATTAGGAGATTAACAGGTATTTAACAAACACATAATTAGAAATCTAAGAAGCATAGCTGCTCATGTCATATCACTAAGTGAAATATTTTAATGACTTCCCATTACCTACGGCAAAAACATCCATACTCCACAGTGCAGAATTCAAGGCTCTTCATGATCTAAGTAGTTTTCTAGTCTTATCTTCCTGGCATTTTCCATACTGCAGATCCGAAAACATGCCCTGCGCCAGTACCTTTCTTTAGTGGCTCCTTCCACCTTGTGTGGCTTCCTCACCATCTCCCACAGCAAACATCCACTCACCCTTGAAGGTCCTGCTCCAATGTAGCCTCAAGAGAATGAAAACCAGGGATTTTGTCTCTTTAGTTGGCTGCCATATACCTGGGTAAGTAAATGCCTGGTGTATATAGCAGGTAACCGATAAATATTTGTTGAATTAACTGAGTGAATAAAATGTGAGTGCCTCTGAGTGGACTTTCCTTACTATACTTATGACCAAATCATATCTTTCATCTCATTTATGTACCAATCTTTTAACGGTGCTTTATGTTTATGTTTTTATAAATGACTTCTTCGCTAGAGAGCAAAGCTCACATAACTAGTTCTCTTAGTCCTCAACTGCCTAGCAGTGGAATAAATAGCAGGCACTCCATAATGGTTGTTGACTAAATAAATGGACATTATTGAGTTTGAAAACGGAATTCTTCAGCTCCCTTTTCACATCTCATAGGAAGTGTTCCAGAAAACAACAAAGCTAGGCAATGCAAAGCGCCGGGGAAAAAAAAATGCAAAGCTGGCTGAACAACAGGGAGGATGCATTGTACCTATATTAACCAAACAACAATTTTTAGGTAATGACATGCTACAGATGGTGGATAGCAGATGGGCAGAAGCAATGCTGTAAGCAGTACATTACAATGAGAGGCAAAAAAGAACAATTGTCCACTATCTTTTAAAAATGTTACCAAATGATTATTTTTGTAGAGGAACTCACTGATCAACCTTATAAAACTTATTTAATAAGAATTCTGTTCTAAGCACTATGTTGATAGAAAATTTCCTCGATATTCATCATGGGAAGTGAATGATATAATCATTAGAATTTATTCCGAGGCAGTGAAATTAATAGGCAGGCAACTTATGAAGAGTAAAAGCTAAAGATTTTCTTTTCAGTGCTTAACAAAATCAAATCCAGTTTCCAATTATAATGACAACACTGAAAATATATGAGAATTCCATTTGAAATATTTGCCAAGCTTTGTGTTTCCTCTGTTGAGATTTTTCTCAAGTGGCATTCACGTTCAGCTGTTCAAAATGCAAAAGTGTTAAATTTAATTCTTAATCAATTTAATTAAAAGTTACAAGCAAAATGAAAACTTTGAGGCATCTCCTGTACATTTTTGCTGTTCCATGCTCTGAGGCAGTAGACCAGGGTAAACACAAGTAGGTAAACATGGTCAACTTCACTCATGTGTCAACTTCGAAGACACACAATAGGCTCATGTTTTCTGCAAGTCTACTCAAATGTTAAAAGTTCTGTGGAAGCAAAGTGCTGACATTATATTTATTCTTCACTTACTGGCTGAAGCAGGTAGATGAGAGATTCCTCTTGGATTATTATAATTGGCACAGGAGTGATGCACGTAGCTTGGAACAGGGTGCTCACAGATGCCATAATCTGGTCAAAACGCCCACCAAGACCTCCCAAGGTCACAATTACATCCACCTAAGCAAGGCAAAACAAAACTGAAAGTCACATACTTAAAGTATTTTCAATAATTAAATAGCATCTAACAATGAAAAAGAGCTTTCAATACTATTTTATGTGATAAGCCATAGAGAAATGGTAGATATCACTTCTGTTGTTCAGATGAAGGAATGAAGTTACTTGTTTAAAGTCACATAATTGGTGAGTAGCAGTCACATTTCGAGACCAACTCTTTCAAGTACAAATTTTATGTTCTTCCCATCTGCCTGTTGACCTGGAAAACTAGTCAACTCTTCCTTTACAGCTGTTTATGTGTTCCTTCCATTTGGAATCATCCCTGATTTCGCACCTGGTGCCTCTCCCGTCCATCCCCATAGCATACCCGTAGTCTCTTCTTATAACACACAGGTTGTTGCCCCACTAGAATTCAAGTATCTTTTTATTGAACCTAGCAATGTTGCCTAAACTCTCAGGGCTTCATTTTTATGTTCACGTGCAAAAATTGGATAGTATTTGCCAATTGATAAGGTTGTTGCAGGGTTTAAATGAGGTAAGTAGAGGAGTTAAGTGTAAAGCATTTAGAACATGTTCACGACATAGTGATTGTTTAAAAAATATTAGCCATTATTCTCTTGCCATTTGCAACGATGTGGATGGAACTAGAGGGTATTATGCTAAGCGAAATAAGTCAGTCAGAGAAAGATACCATATGATTTCACTCATATGTGTAACTTAAGAAACAAAACAGATGAACACAGGGAAAGTGAAAGAAAAATAAGATGAAAACAGAGGGCGGCAAACCATAAGAGGCTCCTAACTCTAGGAAACAAACTGAGGGTTCCAGATATTTTTATGCCAATACAGCTTTATATTATTTTCCCTTTTTTAAAACAGATGAGGATTGCTGGCGGGGAGATGGGTAGGGGGATGGGGTAACTGGGTGATGGGTATTAAGGAGGGCAGTTGATGTGGTGAGTACTGGGTGTTATATACAACTGATGAGTCACTAAATTCTACCCCTGAAACTAATAATACAGTATATGTTAACAAAAATGGAATTTAAATAAAAATTTAACAAATAATAAAAAATATTAGCTCTTATTCTATTGCCGTATTATTTTTGGTATTATTATAGTTATATATTTTTAACATTTTTTGTTATTATTACCTATACTTTGATATGTTATTTTCCTACTTAACACTTTCAAGACAGCATTTCCTATAACTAAAGTATAATTTATTTAAATGTTCCCCTGTTGTTGAAAATATATTTCCAGGATATTAACATATAAAATTACTTTGCTGCTTTCTTTCTATATAAGACAAAGGGTAAAGGTGGGCTGTGGGGAAGTGAAAGGGAGTAAAGTAACCTTCTCCTGCAAAAAGCAGCTGACAATGGGCTTGAGAACAGGACACGACGCATTGCCTCCTCCCTTGACCCTATGCACCTTCTTCTACTCATCCTAATCTCATAATGCATCAACACAGTCAAAGCGGATATAGTCACTGTGGAAGAGGAAGGCTTGAAGAGCTTAATTAAAATATTACAAGAAAACCTTACGAACAATAAAAACGGACTGCAATAATAATCACTCCATCTGGAATAAAATAGATATTGTTTAAAAACAGGGAGCATGTGGTTTAGGTTTTTAAAATAGTTCATGAAAAAAAATCTTAAATAACATTCAGTCCATAAAGATGCCATGATTTTAAAAGAATACCATGTTAACCAAGCACCCCACTCTTAGAGGAACAGTAAGCGTTTAAGAAGTCCATGAGGCCAAAGGCTGTGTTTCTCCGGTCCCATTGTTAGAGCCCTGGTCTCTGAACAGTGCCTAACACATCGAAGACAGCCAAGTGTTTGATGGAAGAGTAAGTGAAGACACTGCAAGAAATGACACACTGCCTAAGGAAGAAATAGCTTAATTGCTATATTGTGGGAATATGTAAATCAGAATGGAGTCCCATAAAAACACAAAAGGTAAATTACACAGAAGAACCAAGACATTTGAAATGAGTTTTCTGTTTCTGACTTCATCAGAATGTAGGGAGAACAGGAATTTTTACTTTGGATAAGATGCTTCATGCCAAACCTGTGTGGTGTGCCTGTCTTAGGATACTAGTTTTGGAGATCTTTCAAGGACCCAAAGCATTAGATTTGGGGTCCAGGAAGAGCACGCACCCTGGGAAGCATGTATTACTCTGAATACATAGGCAAAGACAGGGACATCTGTTAACCCTCTGAGGAAGAGGGTAACTTGTAAGCAGTTAGGCTTAGACCTGCCGAGGAGACTGCTTCTGTTTGGGGTATCAGGTCAGGGAAATGGCTAGGATTTATTAGTAAGGCCACTCCAGACCAGTGGGGAATCGGCCCAGAAATTATATACCACCTCGGAAAGACTAGAGAGAATCTGCTCTAAACTGAAGAAAAAGACATTCAAAGAAGTTATATATGAAATCTAGCAAAACTGCTAAGGCTCCAGTAAAAAGCACATGGCACCTTTTTTTTTTTTTTTTTAAAGATTTTATTTATTTGAGATAGAGAGAATGAGAGACAGAGAGCATGAGAGGGAGGAGGGTCAGAGGGAGAAGCAGACTCCCTGCCGAGCAGGGAGCCCGATGCGGGACTCGATCCCGGGACTCCAGGATCATGACCTGAGCCGAAGGCAGTCGCTTAACTGACTGAGCCACCCAGGCGCCCCACATGGCACCTTCTTACGCACATAATCCTAAATTCACATCAGAAGCAAGGCTGGTGAGAGTTTATTCACTACGCAGATTCCGGAATCCCTTCTTAGGTTCTCAATTTTTCATTACTATACTCTAAGCCTTGAGGGATCCCATAACCTTTAAGGCTGAAATTTAACCCCCTCTTCTGCACTGGGGCATCATGATGAATAAGCGGTATCTGTAGATCAGTGACTGAATTTTTCAGAATAAAGAAGCCGCAAGATTACTTCTCATCACTACTCATTCTCCCTACAGGAAGTATTTAGCAAGACTGATTAAAAACATTAGAGGATCAATGGGGGCTGCAGGCAGGGCAGGGGAGGGTCAGCCTGAGAGGTTTCTGCAGTTCTCTGGCTCTGGCTGTAAGTAGGGCGTCAGGTGTTCACAGAGAGAGACGAGAGAGTGATAACACCCCTACACATTTACATGGGTTTTGCAAGGCTATAGTTATGTCTTTAGGACTACAATGCCACTAGGACAGTGTTCAATCTGAAACAGACCATTTGCAGACTGCCCAGGGTGACTCTTCTGTGTGGATCCAAAGCCTTTTGCATTTATTTCTAATTTCACCCAGTGTGTGGTAAGTTTTTAAAACTTTGTATTTCCTGAGGCTTCAACATCTTCAGACAGTCTGTGAGCCCCTGGCCCAGGTGAACAGGTGCACAGGGTGATAAGGCTGGTCCCTGCCACAAGTTTCCCCTTCTTGCCCTCCAGACTGTGACCTAGTGACATTCCAACAGACCAATGAAATCCTCTCAAGCCTTTGCTTGTCTACCCACCCTGACTCCCATGGGGCCTTGCTCTATCTCCCAGCTCCCGACCTGTTTGAGCCTGCTTGCTGGGCACTCCTCCCATGCAGCCCCCAGCATGGCACACCATGCCTTCCTTTCTAGGACCTGTATGTATAATAAGGCCTTTAATTTCAGATGTCTGTGTCTGCATCAGACAAAATTCCCAATTTAAGTAACATAATTATTCTTTACAATATACCCAGTCGCACTTTGTTATAACTGTTGATATACTTGAGTATCTCTCCTTCTAGAAGAGGCCCATGTATCCCAGATGCTAGCTGCAGTGTTCGCAACAGAACAGACAACAAGTATTTACTGAGCTTCCCCTAAGCATATAAAAACTCAGGAAAAACTGAATAAATAACCGGAGAGGCAAGAAGCTATTTGTTAGGCTGAGTTAACATCATCTCATTCCTACAAGAGTACTTCCCTACTTAACAAAGGTTCAAATAGTCTGTGGCTTTTGAAAAAAGTAACTTATTTCATATGTGTTAGTTCTGGCAATATTTATGGATCATTTACCATGTGTTAGGTGCTATTCTAAACACTTATGACATATCAGTAAAGAAGACAAAAGCCCCTGCCTTCATGGTGTTGACGTTCAAATGGAGGATAATACACAATTGACAGACATACAAATAAGTCTGTTAGTTAGGATGTGAAATGCTGGTAAGTGTTAAAATTGGGAGAATAACAGAGCAGGAGAGGGGAGACCAAAAATGACAGGTTGGGAACATGCTTCCACTTTAAATAGGAGCTAGGTGATGGGTATTAAGGAGGGCACGTACTTCATCGAGCACTGGGTGTTATACACAAACAATGAATCATGGAACACTACATCAAAAACTAATGATGTACTGTATGGTGATTAACATAATAAAATTTTAAAAATAAATAAATAGATAGATAGATAGGCGCTAGGGCAGACTACATTGCAAAAATACTAGAGTAGCACAAAGACCCAGAAGAGATGAGAGAGGTGGCCATGTGTGCGGATACCTGGGGCAGGTTCTTCAGACAGCAGACTGACTATGTTAAGGCCCTGAAGCAGTGACATGGCCCCAGGCATTTTCAAAGAGTATCAGGAGGCTAGCTGCTAAAATTAAATGAGAAATTAGTGGGAGAAATCAGAGTAAAATGTAAGTATTAAATTCATAAAGACTCGTTAAGCCACAGTCCCCGACTTTTACAGGCATTAAATGGGGAGCCGTTATGAGCAGAGGAAGGACATGATCTATGTATTTCCAAAAGTTAGTATGTGTCCAGAATTTCTCCACTTCTCAATACCCACAACCTCATCACAACTACGGCTCAAGCCACCAAAATCGCCAGGGGGTGTAAGCCAGCATTACATCACACAAGAAGTGGCACATAACAGGTGTCCAGTAAGTATTTTTTTGAATAAATGAAAAAATGAAACAGGGATTGGAGGAGAGTAAAAGAACACGGTCAATGGATCAGAGTACTGGTTGAGCTGAAGAACTGCTGGAGTCAGGC